GTTGATGAAGTTTTGGCTCTTTTATGGATAGATAATGGTCCTGTAACAATGCTTACTACAATTCATGAAATTACAGGTCCAAATTCTCTATTCTGAAATAATTCCTTGGCCAATTCATTCTCTAGCTTTGTCAATCTCTCTGAATAATTAATTTTTCACAATGTTGATAATTTCTTCACTTGATTGCAAGTTGCCTACAAGAAATGAAAGAAATTAAGCATAATAATAAAAGTCTTCTCAAATATGGGTAATCTTGTTGTGATAACTTTCAAATTAACTACCCACCTTCCTAATATAGACATCTATAAGGTCAATGATTATCACATGGCTTTAAAAGTTTATAACTCCTTGTTAAAAAAGAAGGAAAAAAGTAAGCTGATAGAATTAAAACTAAATATCTAAGCTTCATTTCCATCGGTTTACTTATTAAAAAATCTTTGAGTTATAAGGCGGACCATTTTATATTAATATTATTTCGGAATGATTTTCCTTGTGATTTCCTAAAAGGCTGATGATTTTTTCGTGATACAGAAAATGACTTGTTGAATAAAATTCTGAAATTTTGTAACACAACAGGAAAAATAATTTTTTCTCAACTCACATATAATAATAATAAAAGAAATGATGAAAAATGTGAACGATGCAACAATATAACAATAAAAAACAATACAAAAAAAACTTAGCTGATTTCCAAGAAAGCCTTTCGACTAAAGAAATAAGCAAGTACATAAAATTATTATTAATAAAATAAAAAAAATAAAGAAATGTCAACAAAACAATAAATAAATAATAAAATAATCCCGAGAACATTTCAAAATTAAAGGAAAGAGGGAGGAAATTGATAGCGAAATTTTATGAGAAAATAATAATAATAATAATAATAATAACAATATTCCAATAAAAGGGGGCTATATATACATGTACGCGAATATACTGATCGGCAGAAATTAATTTTTTTTTTAATATATGCATGTCAGCCAGAACTAACTTGTTAAGATGATGCTTTGATAAAACAAAATACACACGATAAACCGGTATTTTTTTATTATCTACTCGCTATTATGGGAATCAATCAGATTTTACATGGTGCGAACTTTGATTAAAACTTTCAAAGGGCGTTTTTAACAAGGGTCAAAATTTGGTTTTAACTTTTTTATCCATAGAAGTTCCATTTTCATCAATCACTTTTTTCACTTGAAGATAAGTTCTTTTTTGTAAAAAAAGATTAACATTTTTGCATGGGCGGTCCCAAAAGAGAGAATATGCGATTGGATGATATTGATCAGAGAAATAAGAAGTGTTACTTAGATTGCATAAAAAAAAATTTTATCTTACATCAGTATTTAGTGTTAAATTGGTTAACGTGATTACGTTATTGTGGGAACCAATCAGATTTTACATGTGTGAACTTTGATCATTAAAACTTGCAAGGACGTTTTTAACAAAGGGCAAAATTTAGT